CCCCCCTCACCCCGCCTGCTGCCTTCGCCGGGCCAGGGAAGAATCAGTTCAGATCCAGCACCACACAGCAGTTTATAGGGAGCGAGCCCAAAGGAGCCCCCACGACTGCACGGTGGCACACGGGGCTTGTCACCAAATTCAGACGATGCCATCTCACCCTGGGGATTCTCTGGTGTCTGAGACAGGGTTGTGTGCGGGGAGAAGCCTCTACAAGGGGCACAGCCGGAGGAGAGCAGCCCCCATCTGTCTGCTGTCACCAGCCTCATCAAAGTCTTGTAAAACAATAGCGAAGTCAATGGGCTGCGGGAGCCAGATTAGCTGTTTCTTCGCCCTGAGCTGCCGTAAAGCTCATTCATCCGGCTAGAAAAGGGTTTGTCACTGCGGAGTGAGCAGAGCAGCACCCAACAAGCCCCAGCTCTGGAGGAAAGGGCTGCAGCTGGAGTACCCCTGCGGGGTGAGGGCTCCCCAAAGCTCCCGCCAGCTTCCACCTCCAACAGGCAGCTTCTACACACTCACAGGTTGGTACAGCCCTGCTTGGACCTCCCTTCCACCCACAGCCACCCCATGAAAATCCCCCTCCAAGCCACAGGTATAAGGAAGAATCGGAGTCTCTCTGGTTTTTTAGAGCAATAAATAACTTCACTGAATTAAGCGAATCTTCTGAAATGATATATAATATGCTGCTTGCTTGATTGGCTGTTATAAATAATGCATTGCTCAATCTAAACCATTCATAAAACGTCTCCCTGCTAGCCCCGAGCAAAGTGCTTTGGGACTCAGGAGGGGGAAAAAAAAAGGCAAGAAGGAGTAGCATAAATCCTTTCTGTTTATGAAAATGGATTTCTTCCCCCAACAATCATGCAAAACTAATTAGAGCCAAAGGGCTGGCTCCTCTGCATTTGATTACGCCCTGCGAGATCGCTCAGGTTGGCTGGCCAGGGTGGGTGGAAGGCCAAGGCAGAGGAGGATTCACCCCAATGAGCCTGAGAAAGGTTACCTGGATTATATTTCTAATAAAAACATCAGCCTGCTAACATCCAAACAGGTTTGCGTCCCACGGACCATCAAGAGCAAGGACGGGGTGGTCAGGACTCTTAAATATTTGGAGAAATGGTGAGGCAAAGCTGAGGGAAGCCTTGTCTAGGTGGAAGAAGAAGCCACATTGTCTCTGGCCAGCTAGCTCCTGCAGCCAGGATGCTCCCAGGGTGGTGGCCTGATGCACTAACCTGAACTGAGAGGAGCTGGCTTGGGGCTAGAAGCTAGAGAAGCCAGGAGAGCCCAAACTGGGGGCTTGGCCTTCTCCTTCTTAAATAGACAATGCCCTGACCAGCATGGTGAGGAGGGCTCCTCCCTCAGACATCAGTTGGAGATTAATGGTGTAAATCAGAAAACCCTCATTGACCGCAGTGGTGATCCAGTGATTCCTCCAGCTGGGAGGTTGCCTTCATTTATACCAGTGGGAGACATGTCCCCAGAGCTGCGATGGGGGCCCCAGCCCAGCTTCTACTTGTCACATGTTTAGGAGCATGCTTGAAACTTGGGGTGTCTGGGGCTGAGGCAGGTGCCGTGTGAGAAGGAGAGCCCCAGAGCCTGCTCTTCCACCCATCCAGCCATCCACCCACCCATCCATCCATTCATCCATGCATGTATCCATCCATCCATCTATCCACGCATCTATCCATCCATCCATCCATCCATCCATCCATCCATCCATCCATCCACGCATCTATCCACCCATTTTTCCCTCCCTCCCTCCAAGCCTCCATCCTCCAGCATCCTCTTTTGGAGCTCTCATCTGAGGGGATTGAAAAGCCACCACGGAGCACTGCTGTTATTCCCTCCGCTCAGCCCATGGGAAACTGAGGCACAAGTGGTGACATGAACCCCACACATCGTGTCCGCTGGGGAGGCATGAATGGGGAGGTGGGTGGGTGATGTAACCCACGCCATGCAGCTTCATGCTACGATGACCTCCAGAGTGTGTAGGTTAGGGTCTGGCCCTCAGGAGCAGGAGGGGTGTGTTATCCATCCTGTCACACGTGCCTCATCCCCATTTCTACCACAACACGCTGCCTCCAATGCTCCTGAAACGCTGCCACCATATCTAGGACACTTGGGTTTCTTCCTCTTGCATGATGAATGAAGGCATCTTGGGAAGAGCTCAGCGTAGTGTGGTGGACAGCAGCCAAGCCAGAAAGCAAGCATCTTCTCCGTGTTGGCCACGTCCTCGTGGCATTTTATCCTGCTTTCATGCTCCTCAAAGCAACTTTGCAGCCTTGCAGCCCTGTGTCTCCCACCTGAGCTCTGCAGCCCAAGTCCCAGCCATGGGTCAATACCATCAAGGGCTGACCCATGGTCCCACAGCCCCACGGTGGCGCGGAGAACTTGGGACACGCAATAGCCTGACACGCAGCAGCGAGGGGTGAGGAGCAGTGTGGGTACACATCTGGCCTGCTTGGAGATGCTGAGCCCCCAGGTGCTGTCCCGCTGACCACGGGACTCCCTGCTGTGGGGCTTGGGAGAGGCTGACAGCCCATGGGCGTCCAGAGAGTGAGCAGAACGGGAATAAAAATGCCTATAAACCACAACTCCAAATGTCTGATGCCGTAATTCCCCGAGCTGCAAATTGCTAGTGCTTGGGAGAGTGTCACGGTAAGGGTGAGGGCATGCTTGGGCGACCAGCCAGCCGCGGGGATGGGAAGGGAGTGAGTCATGGCTCAGCCCCAAAGATGCTGAGAGCACCACGGCAGTTCAAACTCCGCTCCAGCTGGAAGGGAGGCGTGGAAGCGCTGCCCTGCAGATGTCTGAGCTGGATTTGAAGCTGTGCCTCCCTCCTGCTTGACCCCTCTGCAGACCCGTGTAGCCCCCCAAAGCGAGGTGGCTTTGTCCATCTGCTTGGGACAGTCCTCCGGACCGTGCCCAGGCCTTTTCTGGGGCATGCCTGTTGGGCTGGGCCAAAACTCTGCTGGGGAGCGTGGTGACAGCCGTGGTGTAGGTGGCCACGGTGCAACACTTGGACTGTGTTAGTTCACTTGCATGGAAACAAGGCGTTTTTGGTGGCCGCGCATCACCCAAGCGCCTCGCCCACCCCGTGGGTGTCAGCCACCCGCCAGCCCTCAGATCGCAGGGCTGCAAGGAAACCGTCTGAGGCCGAGCACTGTGGCCAAGGGGGTTCCCGGGCACCAGGCGTCAGGCTGGGGGGTTTTGGACACGGGTCCTGGGAGAGCGGAGGTGCCTGGAGCCGGCATGGAGGGTAAGACCTGGCATTTTGCAGCTTCCCCTCTCTCTCCCCTCCAGCCATCACCCCCCCCCCCGGCTCCGC